TCAACGGCGGGATGAAAATTTATTATCCCGAGCTTGCTCGAAAATAGCGGAAGAAAGATCTAACTAAATTGTATCCTTGTTCGATTCTTTCGTTTGCGTGACACAGCCTCTTAAAAATAATTTTACATTAATATATTCTTGCCATGGAATTCAGTAACTATTAAGATTTTTAATGTCTTCGACGTTTCAATATTTTGAAGATTATAAAGACCGTTCAGGTTGGAAGAACAAAACGGAGGGAAATATTTTCGCAACAACCGAGAGATGAACGACTAGAGAATGAAAAATATTTCAAAGGACTTGTGAAATTATCCAACCGAAAGAGACCGTGCATATATTTATTCGATAAAATTTCCTCGACGATGGAAGTTTCCTGTTGAATTTCTCTACGAACTTCCGCTCCACGAGTGCACGCCTTCCGCGATTTTTCGCGAAATAAGGACGCTCGAATCCAACAAGTTGATTACAACCACGATGCATGATATTTACTCTGGATTGCATATCAGCTCGAGGCCCCCTTTAAAGCTGATAAAGTTGAAAACCGGCACGTAGTCTCGCTCGGAGATCCGGCAATAAATCCTGAACGGTTGCTCGTCGCAGATCGTCTCGACCTGTTCGAATACATATCGCGTCGCCGGACGAGTGACAATTTATTAACAACGTTTATCCAGACGTTTGTTTTTCGCGACAACGCGAATTATTGCAACGAATTACAGGGGAATGCTGTCGCGTACCTTCTGTAGAAGAAAATCGTTCCACGATTGATCCGATTCGTCGTTTCATCCAATTCCATATTAATAATCGAAGGTGAACTCATGAAACGTTCGAAAATATTTTGAAAGGTTTGCTCGAAACAAACAAATTTTAAAATTTTTACCAAGCGATAAGAAAAGTTTCGAGGAAATATGAAAATCTGATATAACAATGACTTGATGTACCGATCAATTTTTGGAAAATGCATGCCTGAGATTTTACGTAACCGCGTTACTCGTGTCTCGTTTCAACGTAAATTAAATGTCGAAAACCGAGAGATAATTCTACCGAGTCGAAGCAACAACTACAACGTTTGTAATGTCAAATACGAATGTAATAAGCTCGAAGACTGGAAAGATAGGCAAGAAGTATCTTTTTCACGGCCGAGAGACTTTGATGTTGCGTCGACATGGAGTCGACAACGACGTCCCTTCGTATTTTAATATTTTTACGCGTGCATTCAGGCGTGTCGTGGAGATAAATCGGGATGCAGATCCCACCGCGGACGGGGAATTTTCCATTTATGAAACGGCTAGAAGGTTTAATGAAAACGACGCGAGAGTTCTGTCGCGATTAATATTAAGTGGATTAAACATTGAATGCCCATTAAATTAAATTGCTTTCGATCAATCGTGGATTCGAAACAACCAATACCTCCCGGAAACCGTCGCCACGCGATATCACTCGCCATCGTTTTAAATAATTCAAACACCAAAAATACAGATACAGCCTCTGTTCTTCAAACATGCTCGCCACTTTGTCGAACAAGAGTTATATTGATTCGCGATACGATACGGGAAAACTTGTGGAACACGTATTAAGTGTGTTACGTGAAACATTTTGAAATTTTACTGACACTGCTCAAACCGATCGAAATTTCATTTTCTTATAAATGAAAAATATTAGATCAATTTCTGTTCTGAAATCAATCTGAAATCGAATAAGTGTGTCAATTATGTTCCACGTTATTTTTTTTTTATATGAATATATATCTATATATATGTACTAGTTATGTACATATATTTCAAGTACACGTATACGTATATATTTTCGAAATAATTGCAAATTTTACAAACATAATTGCGACAGTCGCGTCACGTTATAGTGTCAATGAAGTATCAAAATATCTTACGCAAGTACATTCCCGAGCCGGTACAATAATTTCAAGTAGCGAGCATT